TTGGATGTGTTTGGAGTATGTTTGTAATATGTGTGTTGTTTCGTCCAAAACCCGCCCGCCTGTAGGGGGACACGCCCGACCTGACGCGTGTGTGTGTGTGTGTGTGCTTTTCTCGCGGCCAGGGCCATCGGAGGGCAGACTGGGGCGTCCCGTGACCAAGGGCAAACGCACACGAGGCTGGGAACCACGCCCGGGCAGTGGACGTCCGAGCGATGGCGGGCCCGGGGCAGCAGCGGCTGCGCGGGCGCGCCGTGCAGGCGCGGGGCGGGCCCTGCGTCGCCGGGCGGCGCGCGTCCGCCGGGAGCGCCCCGTCGAGGGTGCGGCGCGATGCAGGGGGTGCACTTACACCCTAGACGATGCTTAAGAAAACCTTCGTTTTTGGGCAGAGTCTCGATTATTCTTAATTTTTGAATCTAAATCCCAAGATTTTGATAGAAGTTCTGGGCTTTATTCAATCTCTGAGACTATGAATTTCTTAACCCATGATTTCTTAAGCATTTCGCAAGGTGTACAGCCACAGTGTTTGTGGTTAGTGGCAAGACCCGCTGGAAGTCGGCGGCGGGCGCGGGCGGGGGGGGGAAGCGAGAAGGAGAAGGCCTGCTCGGAAGGCTCGGAAGCCCCGCGGCCTTCTGAGAGGTGTTCACACGCCCTCCCCGGAGACACGAGCAAGCTTCTCAGGAGGCGCGAGGGCTTCTGAGAAGTCCCAACGCATTCTGTGAAGTAGCGGCGAAGCGTCCTGGCTCGCCTATAGCCTTACCAAACAATGTTCGAAGAACTTTTTGTGGTTCCCACGGAATGTTCTTAGAACAGTTCTGGCTGGGGCCGTCTTGTATTATAACATAAGGCTTAAGCTCTAAGAACATGATCTTCGTTCCTAGCACATGTTTGGGGTTCTGAGAACATGTCGTGGCAGGACTGTAGGAATGCCGGGACGGTCGGCCCCTGCCCAATTCTAAGGAGGCCTTCTCCTTCCCATTTCCCCCCCCCCCCCCCGCGCCGAGCAGGGTGCGGGGCCGCCGAGCGGGGTGTGGGGCACAGCGGGCGCGGGCGATGGGCACGGCGGCCACGGCGAGGCTCGACGACCGCGGCGGGAGCAGTGGTGCGACGTGGGCCCTTCGTGGGGCGGCGGTTTGGCTCTGCTGTGCTGTTCGGCGCGGGCGCGCGCAGCTTCGCCCCCTTGACAGAGATGAGAGCAGGCTGGCACGTGCCAGAAGTCGTTTTCCCCGTCTGCTGGAGCGTGATCGTCTGCCAGCTTGCCGGCGCTGAGCTCTGCTCCCTAGGTTCTCGAGGCCCAGGCCCAACGGGCGTTCCCCTGATCATATCTTGGCGTGGGGGAGGGAATGCGCTAGGAGAGGAGGGCGGTGGTGGTGGGCGATGGCAGTGTGTCGCGCAGACGTGCTTACGCTGATCCCTCGAGTTCCGTTAGGATCCAGGAGGAGGAAGACGTTCAGGAATCCTGGCAGAGGATCGAAGAAACTTATCAAGGGGCAGTGCTCCCTGGCCCCAGCTCGAGTCCGACGGATGCGATCCGGCTGCGCCAGCGCAAAAGCCAGGAGGAGGCGAAGGACGGAAGGCATGAACACGGGAGGAGAAGGAGGAGAAGGAGTGTGTGACAGAACAGGACATCGCAAACTTCCGGAGGTCCGCGCTGATTACAGTCAGGGCGCTGAGGTATGAACCCTTTTCGTTTGGGGAGGGGCTCCGTGTTCCTCAGTTCTTTTACAGTGCTCCTTGGGTTTCCCTGAGGTTTCCCATGGAGAATCGGAGTTTGACCTATGGGAAAAAGGGGCCTCGTTCCTTATTTATCGTTCCTTAGGTCAACGCCCCGACTGCATTGGATCGGCGCTGGTCCCCCTTCCCCCTGGCGCTCGGAGCGCGGCAGGGGCGCCGCCGGAGGCGCCACCCGGAGGGCTCCGGCGCCGACCCGAGGAATCCGCGCGGACCCCTGAGATTCATGTGCTGGTAATCTGTCGCTCCTCGAGGAGGAGGGGGAGGAGGAGGAGGAGGAGGAGGAGGAGGAGGAGGCGGAGGAGGCGGAGGAGGCGGCGCCGTGAACCCTCCGGGGCGGCCACGAGGTGGGCGTCCAAGAGGGGGGGCGCAAATCATGGCCGGCGGAGGAAGAGGAGGAGGAGGGGGAGGAGGAGGAGGATGCTATTCGTCCTGACGCAGGCCGCAGCTTCGAACTGCGAGGAGGCAGCGGGAGGAGGAGGAGGAGGAGGAGGGGAAGGAGGACAAGGATGAGGAGGACGCTGCAGGAGGAGGAGGGGGAGGGGAAGGAGGAGAGGCGGAGGGGAAGGGGAGGTGCACGCTGGAGCGCTGCTGCTGCCGCCCCCTTGCTTGCCCCCCCGTCCCCGAGGAGGCGAGACGACCCCGCCGGAGCGCTTGCCGCCGGAGCGGCGCTCAGACGGGCGCCGGCGTTGCCCCGATCGGTCCTGGCCGTTCGCTCCCCGTTGGTGCGCCGAGTCGGCGGAGGGCCGTGAGAGACACCGCCAGTTGGCCTCCAGGGGGGCCGCTCGTCGCCACGGCTGGGCGCAGCTTGGGAAGCTAGTGCGTTCGGACCAGGGGAGGGATTTGGGGACCGACCTTGAGTCGAAGTTTGAATCTCCAGTGTGTCAGTTCGCCCTTCTCCGAACGACGACGACGACGATGACGACGAGTCTCCATGAGGAAGCCTAGACCTCATCTCGGCGGCGCGCCCGGGATGGAAGTGAGATGGAGCAGGGGCTTCTCAGAAGCCGTTGCGCCTTCGGAGAAGTTGTCAGCGTCTTCGGGGAAAGCTTGGGACACCTCTCAGAAGGCCAGAGGCCTCCCGAGCCTTCTGAGAAGGCCCGCCCCCTCTCACTTCCCCCGGGGGCGCCGCCGCATGAAGGAGGCCCAGACCTCATTTCGTTGCGACAAGACGGGCACGGAAAGAATGAGTTCGAAGACCCGCGGCAGTTGTTGGTCTGGACACGATGGCAGGTTTTTGAACATTTGCTGGTGTCTGGCGGCCATCAATGATCGGGCCTTGGGACTCTCAGAAACCGATTCGTGGGAGCAAGCACTGGTCCCAGGCAATGGGTCCAGAGTTCGGGGACCGCGTTGTTATCCAACAGTCTACATTGGAGTTTGGTGAATGGGTCTCGAAGGGAAGGAGCGCCTGGAGGTTTTCTCGCAGTTCTCGTGCCGCCTTGGGAGGGGCCCCGCGGATATCAGAGAACGACCCGGGATTAGAAGGTGGTCCCTGGGGAATGCCCTAGGGTCCAGGTCTGGTCCCCTCGGTTGCGACTCCTGGCAGCTCAGATTCAGCATCGGCGGTGGTAGATCCGCGGGCGACTGTGGCCGAATCCCGTACAATCTTTGGCAATCTGGCTGCATGGTCCCTCGTGTCTTGATCGTTCCTACGGAGCGACTGCACAGGAGCTGCAAGTCGAACGTGTCCCTCGGGACCGTGCCCGCCTCGTGCCGGGCGTGGAGGGGAGGGCCGCACCGTCGACGGCAGTGTCGCCGTCTGGCGGTGGCCAGCTCAGGAGCCAGGAGTCCGTCCTCTTTCGGAGGTGGATAGACCCCCTACCCTGACCCCACCCCCACCCCCACCCCCAGTCCCGACTCCATCCACGAACCCGCGATTCAAGGAGTCGGGACTAGGGGTGGGGGTGGGTTTTCGGGGTCCAGGAATAGCGAAAACCCACCGCCACCCCCAGTCCCGACCCCTTGAATCGCCGGCTCGGGGATGGGCGTCGGGACTGGGGGTGGGGGTGGGATTTCGCCTTCTGAACGTCGCTTAATTCATTGGCCGTTTTCGGTTCGCGAGGGGGCGTCGCGGCCGTCATTTTTGCGGGTCCAGGTCCGTCGGTTTTCGGTCCCAGGCCGTCTTCATTAAGGGGAGGTTTACGAAAGGGAGGTTTGTCCACCGCCGAATCTTCTGCCCTCCTCAGCCCGATTCGGCTGCAAAGAAGCGCCCCCGCCCGGGGCGGAAGGCGGGATGCCCCGCAGCTCCCTGCCAGGCTTGGGGCCCTCTGCCCCGATGGCCAGCTAGACGCCCAGGGAGGCGCGCAGGGTCGGCCGTGTTTTGTCTGCTAGGAGGCTTTGGCATTGACGAGCGCTGCCAATGCCTGGATGCAATGCCTGGGGGTTAGATCCCACCAGCCCTGCAGGGCGTAGGTGGTCTAGGGAGCTTCCTCTTCCAATTGCCCTCCGGGGAGGGGTTAATCATGGTTCCCTATAAATGAACTCCCCCTCCACCACCCGTCCGGCAGCCAACCCGGAACCATGTGCACACCATGAGGGCCCCCCAACCGTCCCTGACAAAAAACAATACAAAATGCACTCTGCCTCAAAATTCAGGGCTTGCGCAACAATCCAGATGCGGCCCCCCCACCATCCCTGTCCAAGAGCAGTACACAGTACACTTTGGGGCAAAGTCTGGAGACTTGCTCGTGAGGCCCGCGGGCACCTTGTATTGTTTTTCGATAGGGACGACGGGGGTGTCAGCACATTGCCTGCTGCGCGAAGGGCTACCATTCTTGACAAACACAATACAAAGTGCACCTCGCGGCTAAATGTGGATAGTGCGCGGCCACCCCGCGATCATTGTCAAGTGTTTGTTGTCAGGGACGGCGGGGGTGGTGGCGTATGGCCTGCTGTGCGCAGGCCCACCAGGCACAATGATGGGCATTGGTTTTCGACAGGGATGGGGGGGGCCGACATGTTTTCCGATGTGTGCTGTCACGTGCGCAGGCGTACCTGACACACTCTGCACGTGCCCCGGACGTAGCGCAGCTAGCGCGGCTGGAGGGAGCATCTTGCGCACTAGGAGTGCCTGGCACGCTCGGGCCCCAGGGGTGCCTGGCGCGCCTGGCACGCGTGGCGCACCTCGCCTGAGCGTCGCGCACATGGGCTCGATTTTGGTTCCCAGGAGTGGTTCATCACGAGACGACCGCGGAACATGCTGAGGCTCGGGTGTTATTTATGTGTTGGGAGGGCGGGTGGGAATGAACTAGACGGCTTGCTATCTGGAGGGTGTCTTGACCCTTCTCCCTCCCCCCTCCCCTTGACCTGGACGGGGGACTTCGCGGGTTGCTTAAGCGTCCAAAACGGCCTCGGCGAGGAAGCCACAATCATTTGCTTTATTCATTTTGGCATCCTGGAAGGGGGGCCCTAATTGAGGAGCCCCCTTCTTTGATCGATCTCCTCCGATATGGCCCCAAGAGCGCTCCGAAGGCTCCCAAGGGTGCCCCAAGACGGCTCCAAGAGGTGGCCAGGAGCCCCCAAGAGGCTTCCAAGAGACTCCCACGAGGCCCCTAAGAAGCTCTCCGTGGCACCCAAGACGCTCCAAGAGGCCTCGGAGAGAGTGCAAAATCATTGATTTGTTATTAAGGTTTGGGCCACATTTTGGCCTCCTGGGGGGGGGCACTGCTTAAGATGACTCCAAGAGTGCCTGGGAGAGCCCAAGATGACCTCCAAGATGGCTCAAGATATCTCAAGATGCCTCAATGTGGCTCCCACGATGCTCCCAGGGGCCCCAATACCGCCCCAAGACGGCTCCAAGTCGGCAAGGAGCTCCCCCAGGAGGCCCCGAAGAGGCCAAAAGTCCTCCCCAAACCCGGGGGAAATTCATGCGTTTGGCTTTTTCGCCTTTTCGCTTCCGATGGCCATCTGAGGCCTCAAGATGGTTCCAAGATGGCCAAAGAGGGCTCCAAGAGAGGCTCAAGAGAGCCCCGAGGCGGCCCCAAGACCCAAGAGCGCCCAAGAGCGCTCCAAGAGCGCCCCAAGAGGCGACGTTTTGGGCTCCCGGGGGGCAACGCTAATTAATACTCACCTCTCGTTTGATCGATGTCCTCCTAGGGCCGCAAGAGCGTTCCCAAGAGCGCTTCGAGAAGGCCCCAAGAGGCGCCCACGAGGCCCCAGGAGGCCCCGACAGGCGCCCAAGAGGCCTCCAAGATGCTCCCAAGAGACCACCAAGGTGCCCCAAGAAGCTCTTCGAGTCACCCAAGACGCTCTCAGAGGCGTCCGGGACCGCCAAGAGGCCCCCAAGACGCTCCAAGAGGCCTCCACTGGGGGACCCTTCCTCTGTGTGCTGCCCACTTCCCTGATCGAGGCAATTCCGCTGGGCATCGTTTCTGGATGGGCTGGTGGGGTTACTTTTTGATCGCGACCGCGGCGAGAAGGTCGGGCGGCGTTGAGGGGCGAAACACAGAGGCGACGGCCTAAATAAGCGCACGGGGAGGGGAAGGCGAAAAGAGACAAGACCAAGCAAGGGGGGAATGGCTGGTGGGGATACTTTTTGATCGCGACCGCGGCGAAGAAAGGTCGGGCGGCGTCCAGGGAATTGCAAACTAGCAACGGCCTACATTAGCGCAAAGGAAAAGGATGGACGAAAAGATAATAACAAGCTGGTGGGGCTACTTTTTGATCGCCACCGCGGCGAAGAAAGGTCGGGCGGCGTCCAGGGAATTGCAAACTAGCAGCGGCCTAAATTAGCGCAAAGGAAAAGGAAAGACGAACAGAACATAAACAGCTGGTGGGGCGACTTTTTGATCGCGACCGCGTCGAAGACATGTCGGGCGGCGTCCCAGGGAATTTCAAACTAGCAGCGGCCTAAATTTGCGCAAAGGAAAAGGAAGGACGAAAAGGAACTAACAAGCTGGTGGGGCTACTTTTTGATCGCGACCGCGGCGATGAAAGATCGGGCGGCGTCCAGGGAATTGCAAACTAGCAACGGCCTAAATTAGCGTAAAGAAAAGGATGGACGAAAAGATAATAACAAGCTGGTGGGGCGACTTTTTGATCGCGACCGCGGCGAAGAAAGGTCGGGCGGCGTCCAGGGAATTGCAAACTAGCGACGGCCTACATTAGCGCAAAGGAAAAGGATGGACGAACAGAAAATAATAAGCTGGTGGGGCTACTTTTTAATCGCGACCGCGGCGAAGAAAGGTCGGGCGGCGTCCAGGGAATTGCAAACTAGCGACGGCCTACATTAGCGTAAAGGAAAGGAAGGACGAAAAGAAAATAACAAGCTGGTGGGGCGACTTGTTGATCGCGACCGCGGCGAAGAAAGGTCGGGCGGCGTCCAGGGAATTTCAAACTAGCAGCGGCCTGAATTAGCGCAAAGGAAGAGGATGGCGAAAAGAAAAGAACAAGAACGAGCAGGAGAGAGAGAGAGAGAGAAAGAGAAAGAGAAAGAGAGAGAGAAAGAGAAAGAGAGAGAGAGAGAGACAAACAGGAAGCGAGGCTCACTTCCGCTCACTGCTGGTGGGGCTACTTTTTTGTCAGCGGCTCCGAGGCAACGGACAGGGAGCGGAAGCGGCGTCCGGGTCACGGTACGGGGCTAATTTCAACAGGCACACGCCGGCCGGCCCGCTCACATAGGAGCCACGAATTTGAGGAGAAGCTGACGCTGCAGGTGACCT